CTGTGTTCATCCAGCTCTATACCTTCTCTTCAGTCTCCCCCTGTTTCTGTTCCAATTATCTGGCATTGGTGTTACTCATCCTGGCCCCCAGCAGAAACATTTCCTACACATTTGTTCCATTCAACTCCTTCATCATTCTGAACATCTCTATTTAATCTCCCCTAATACTCCCTGTTTGACTGGAGAACAATTTCAGCTTCTCCTATCTCAGTGTAACTACAATCTCTCATGCTTGGAACTGTTCTGATAAATTGACATCCAGCTTAAAATGAGATGCTTAGTGCGGGATGCAATAATTGCTGTTACCTGTATTTGCTCAAATGGGACTTCAAAGCTGAATGACTCATTGTAGTATGGGTTTAGGGTATTTTTCTTGATTGTTGTCTTCTTTTTCTTCAGCCTTTTACCATTCTGCATCAGATGAATCTTCACATAGGGATCTAGGAAAGTAATAACAAATAAGTATAAAATGTGACCAAGAATCTCTTTGTAATTCAGAGCAGAATCGGCATTTTTAATGCAAATTTGTTCCCAGTAAATGTTTTGCAGATGTGTGAATTTGCATTTTCATTTCTCCTGATAAACTGATCAGGTGCAGTTTCTGTTTATATTCTGATGTTCATGGGCTCAGGATGTCTCAGCTGCTGTAATGTAGGAAACGGGGCAGTTCACTCATGCAAAGCTAACTCCCACATTAGTAACCAGATTATTTGCAGTAGTTTTTGGTACCTGTATGTAACTAACAGGATAAGGGCATTGCTGGTGAGGCAGCACTTATTGCCCATCTCTAATTGCCCAGAGGGCAGTTAAGAGTCAACCACATTGCTGTGGGGCTGGAGTCACATGTAGGCCAGACCAGGTAAGGATGGCAGTTTCCTTCCCTAAAGGACATTAGTGAACCAGATGGGTTTTTCCAACAATTGACAATGGATTCATTCAGACACCAGGCCTCAGTTTAACATTTTGTGTGAAAGCTAGCACCACAGCAGTGCTGCACTCCCTCAGTACTGCATGGTGAGTGCTGGCCTGAATTCCATATATAAATGTTTGCTCTAGAATTTATAGCCACAATCCTCTGATTTTGTGGTTACTTTCTGATTTGCTGCTGACACCAAATCCAGTCACTAATAGTCCTGAAAAGTAATTTTCTGTGTGTGCTGCAGATTAATTCAAGCCAATATCCAGTCTTTCTCTGAACTGCTTGTTTGCATTCTAACAATGACGACACTTTAGTCGTGCATATTATTAATGAAGCAATCTGGGACATTGTGAGGTTTGAAAAGATGCTATAGAAATGCAGATTTCTCTCTTCCATACAAAAGCATGACAGGATGGATGCAGATGAGAGACGCCAAGCAGCCAATTTTAATTCTTCAGTCCAGATAGACATATTAATTCCATGTCACTAGTTTAAGATGTGAATTGCTTTTATTCAATGGGAGATTGTGCTAGAGCTTGATGTATTTTCATTGAGTCCTACAGTGCAAGAGGCGAGGGTTTGGTGAATCATAGTCTATTCTGACTTCCTGAAAGATCTATCCAGTTCACCCTATTCTTCTGCCCTTCCCCCAAAATCCTGAAAACTTTCCCTTTTCAAGAATCCATCCAGTCTCCCTTTGAAAGTTACTGTTGAATCAGATTCCACTTTGTTCAGGTGCCACTTTCCAGATCAGAACAATCCTCCTCTATCCCACGTCATCATCGACTTTCATGACAAAAAGGGGGCCGATGAAATTGCAAAGCCCATAATCATTTTAAATCCAGCATCAGATCACATTGTCTGATATGCTGTATTTGTATTTGACAGCAATTTGGGGAACACAGATTGAAACATTTCCAATGTAACACTTTCAAAATGCCACAGCCTAATGGTTCCACGACTCTACATATTGTTTTTGCACTTGAATCAAAAGTAAGTAAAATTGTCACAGAATCATTGAAGATGATTGTGTTTCATCAGAGTCTTAAATCTTTCATTTACTCTTGATTTAGGACGATTATACCTAAGGTGTTTTTCTCAAGCTTTCGTTTATGCAATATATTTATTAAGCATTCATGGATAAGTAACCCCAAAGGAAAGATATGTCTTCATTTTGTATTACACACAGATTATTTGTGTTAATCTTTCCAGCTGATTGTGGCACTGAATATATAATAAGAATTGTGTTCTTTCTTATATAACTTCTCAATTCAAACTTATTTTAATATTCAACACGAGTACGTGTGTGCATTTTACATAATATTCAAAATCCCAGCACAAAATGAGGGCATTGGGCCTACTGTGTTTGTGCTGGTCCACAATGACGTCTGTACTTCAGAGCCAAAAACAGCAAGTGCTGGAGAAACTCAGCATCTGTGGAGAGAAAGCAAGGTTAACATTTTGAGTCCAGTGACCCTTCTTCAGAACAGGATATCAGGTTTCATTATGAGGAGGCATTGTACAAATTAGGCCTGTTTTCTCTCAAATTAAGGGGTGATCTGATTGAAGTCTTCAAGATATTAACAGGAAAAGACAGGACAGATAAAGAAAATCTGGTTGGGAATTCTAGAACTAGGAGCATAGTGTGAGAATTAGGGTCAGACCATTCAGGAGCGATGTTAGGAAGCACTTTGACACACAACGGGAGGGAGAGGTTTGGAACTCTCTTCCACAAATGGCAGTGGATGCTGGATCAGTTATTAATTTTAAATCTGAAATAGATAACATTTTTTTAACCAAAGGTGCTAAGGGATATGGGCAAAAGGCAGGCGTATGGAGTTAGAACACAGATCAGCCATGATCTCATTGAATGGTGGAACAACAAAGGACTCAATGGCCTACTCCTGATCCCATGTCCCTCAGATATGGCAAATGGATCATTCTATGCTAAATGATTCTGCTGCGCTAAATTCAATTGTACTTCCTCGATCTTTCTCCTTCTGTGTGAATATGTAATTCTCCTGTTGAACGATAAGGTAATATAATTCACCACAGTCATCTCTGCTTTTTGCTATTCTTGTGATGTGCTGATTGTCCACATCACCTGACGAAGGAGCAGAGCTCCGAAAGGTTCTGATTTCAAATAAACTTGTCGGACTATAACCTGATATAACAAGGTGTACAGCTGGATGAACACAGCAGGCCAAGCAGCATCAGAGGAGCAGGAAGGCTGACGTTTTGGGCCTAGACCCTTCTTCAGAAAAGGGGGAGGGGAAGGGGGTTCTGAAATAAATAGGGAGAGAGGGGGAGGCGGATAGAAGGTGGATAGAGGAGAAGATAGGTGGAGAGGAGACAGACCAGTCAAAGAAGCAGGGATGGAGCCAGTAAAGGTGAGTGTAGGTGGGGAGTTAGGGAGGAGATATGTCAGTCCAGGGAGGACGGACAGGTCAAGGGGGTGGGATGAGGTTAGTCGGTAGGAGATGGGGGTGCGGCTTGAGGTGGGAGGAGGGGATAGGTGGTAGGAAGAACAGGTTAGGGAGGCGGGGATGAGCTGGGCTGGTTTTGGGATGCGGTAGGGGGAGGGGAGATTTTGAAGCTTGTGAAATCCACATTGACACCATTGGGCTGCAGGGTTCCCAAGCGGAATATGAGTTGCTGTTCCTGCAACCTTCGGGTAGCATCACTGTGGCACTGCAGGAGGCCCAGGATGGACATGTCATCTGCGGAATGGGAGGGGGAGTTGAAATGGTTTGCGACTGGGAGGTGCAGTTGTTTAGTGCGAACCGAGCGTAGGTGTTCTGCAAAGCGGTCCCCAAGCCTCCGCTTGGTTTCCCCGACGTAGAGGAGGCCACAACGGGAACAGCGGATGCAGTATACCACATTAGCAGATGTGCAGGTGAACATCTGCTTGATGTGGAAAGTCTTCTTGGGGCCTGGGATGGGGGTGAGGGCGGAGGTACCGGGCAGGTGTAGCACTTCCTGCGGTTGCAGGGAAAAGTGCCGGGTGTGGTGGGGCTGGAGGGGAGTGTGGAGCGGACAAGGGAGTCACGGAGAAAGTGGTCCCTCCGGAAAGCAGATAAGGGGGGGAGGGAAAAATGTCTTTGGTGGTGGGGTCGGATTGCAGATGGCGGAAGTGTCGGAGGATGATGCGTTGGATCCGGAGGTTGGTGAAGTCTCACCATAAGACCCGCGGACAAGGGAGGCGCAGTTGTAGCATGGCACACTGACCTCTACATTGCCGAGGCCAGGCGCCAGCTCTCCGACACCTCTTCCTACCGCCCCCTTGATCATGACCCCACCTCCGACCACCAAACCATCATCTCCCAAACCATCCACAACCTCATCACTCCAGGTGACCTCCCACCCACAGCCTCCAACCTCATCGTTCCCCAACCCCGCACCGCCCGCTTCTATTTCCTTCCCAAAATCCACAAACCTGACTACCCTGGTCGACCCATTGTCTCCACCTGCTCCTGCCCCACCGAACTTATCTCCACCTATCTGGACTCCATTTTCTCCCCCTTGGTCCAGGAACTCCCTACCTACGTCCATGACACCACCCACGCCCTCCACCTCCTCCAGAACTTCCAATTCCCCGGTCCCCAACACCTCATCTTTACCATGGATGTCCAGTCCCTATACACCTGCATTCCCCATACAGATGGCCTAAAGGCCCTCTGCTTCTTCCTGTCCCGCAGGCCCGATCAGTCCCCCTCCACTGACACCCTCATCCGCTTAGCCGAACTCGTCCTCACCCTCAACAACTTCTCTTTCAATTCCTCCCACTTCCTACAGACAAAGGGGGTGGC